TATATATTTATGTGAACCTAACTCTCCAGTGGGGTTGTCTTCTAATTTCAAAGTTTTTACATAAAAGAACACTTTAAAGCAGAACAGAGGAAGGAAAAGAGAAAAAATTCACAGAAGATTTTCATTAAGTCATTTGCTTAAGCAGGAAAGCAGAGGGCTGTTGTGGTGTTAATGGAGGGAGGAAAGAAGATTTGGGTTCAATCGTATTCTGGTCCAGGACAGTCTTAGCAACGATATTTTGAAAGTATCCTGGCTGATGGTTTAGTGGAGAAAGAAGCAGGGCAGAAAAGAAGAAGGGGAAAAAGACATTTTTTTTCTAAAAGCTGCATATAAGGATAAAATTAAAGTATTTGATCTCTGTTTTCCAAACATCAACTGTTTATATACCACTTTCACAATTTTTGCTATTAACATTTAAAAGGAAACATTATATCACTGCCAAACATGGAGAACCAGTATAGCGTGCCACATAGGGCAATATTAATAATCTGCTACTGCTGATAACTGTGTGCCGTGGAGTTGGTTCTGACTCCTAGAGTCTGTATAGGGTTTCTGAGGCTGTAAATCTTTATAAGAGCAGAATGCCTCATTATATTTCCTGCGAAGTGCTTGGTGGATTTGAACTTCTGACCCTGTGGTTAGCAGCCCTTTCATTAATAATCTGTTATTTGTTATTATTGTTGTTAAATGCCGTTGAGTCAGTTCCTACTCATAGAGACTCGTATAGGGTTTCTGAGGAGCAGCTGACCTGCATCTCTGTTCAACTGGAAGACTACCAAGTATGATAAAATTACTAAAAGATATGACAGAATGGGACATCAGGTAATGACAGTGTGAAGAGATCAGGCAAGACTTTCTAAAAAAAAAAACAGCTATATATCCCCTCCATACACAGAATAGACAGGGATGGGCAACTTAGACATTGGCTACGCAAAATGGAGGGGCTACAAAGGCAAGAAGTGACTGGCTTACAAGCTTTCAAGAGGGAAGCTAGATTCATAGGGCATGGAGGAAAGTAGAATCTCCACTGAGTAGTATACAGTCTGTCTAGGCTGGGCTGATTAAATGAAATCTGGATGGAGCTGTTGTGATACAACAGTGAATAATTGTTATCTGGACTGCTTGTGAGGGAAGTAATTGTAAAGGTAGACGTTTTTAGCAAGGAAGGGAGTGATTAACTTTTTAAGTCTAAGAGCGGAGTTTCCTGGGACCATCAAGGGAGAAGAGCGGAGAGCGGGACCCTACCCAGAGAAGCAGTGATGCCTGAGATGAAAGCAGAGATGATGATGTGGAGAGATGGAGCACTTGGGGACTTCAGACACAGAGAGGGAGAGGGGCTGTGTGCTGATAACCCGGGAGACAGAATTGTAGATTATACCCTTTAGATGGCTGATGATCCATGGAGGGAATTATAACTATAGCAATGAAATGATATACTATAGGATGAATGTAAAACGAATGTTCTCCCATGTAAACTATCACATAATTCACAATAAAACATTAAGAAAAAAAAAAACAGCTATAAAAGACACAGAACAAAAAGATTATAAACAACTATTTGAAGGTACTGGCAAATGATAAAAGGCAGGAAAGAAATCTGAGTTTATACTTGAAAGATGAATGAAATAACTGTGAGCTTGTAGCTTTCTTGCCTGAAGGCACTTTCCAACCTCCCCTGTCCAAGGAGAAAAAAAGGCAGTTCACCAGTTCCAGGGGGAAGATGGTAGGGTTCAAAGCATCAGAAAAGCTATAAGTTCAAGGGGAAATTTTGGAATCAAGAAAGCCACAGAAGATGTGAGCTCTAAAAGCTAAATACAAACTATGCAAGTGGCGGGGAGGCAGTAGGAAGCATAGCGACTAGGCAGACAGAAACTAGGGTGGGGTGTTTACCTTGCAAGGCAGAACTACTTCTGCTGAGATCTGGGAGTTCCCCCACACCTTTGACTAAATGCTTTTACCCAACAGCTCAAGCTGCAGATAACAGGAGATTTACTAGCTTGAGGTGTCAGGGGATAGAATTTGGGACTAAAGAGTCCTGGTGTGGCACTGTGGGTTAATGCCAGACTGCAAAGCTGTTTGAAATGCAAGGTCAGTGGTTCAAGTTCATCAGCTGCTCCTCGGAAACCCTATACAGGGTCGCTATGAGTCAGAATCGACTCCACAGCACTTCACAACACCAACTAGGAGTCCTAGTGTGGAGCGCTGTGGGATAAAGCACTGGACCACAAAGTTGGTATGAACCACAAGGCAGCAATTCAAACTCACCAATAACTCCTTGGAAACCCTATACAGGGTCGTTATTAGTCAGAAGTGACTTGACGGCACTTATCAACAAGGAGTCCTGGTATGCTGCTGTAGGATAAGCACTGGACTGTTAACTGCAGGGTCAGTGGGTCACACTCACTGGCCACTCTTTGGAAACCCTATAGAGGGTTGCTCTGAGTTGGAAACAGCTCGATGACACTTAACAGCAAGAAGTAACTAAAAATCTAGGAGAGTACCATATAGCCAGAGAATCACTACACAAATGAGCTGGAAATCTGAATATAAACTGTCCAAATCCTTAGTAGATCACCAACCTACACAGGCTGGAGGGTGAGGAAATGGTTCAAAAAAGCAGCAGTTAGTATTGAAAAAAACAAAAAACAAAACACCATGAGTGTTGATATCACTTGCTGTCCATCGAAGAATAAAAAAAAAAATTCCCAACAATGTGCTATCTACAAAATGACCAGTGCCATCAAGTAAATTCTGGCTCAGAGTGACCATGGAGAGGATGGTGGTTCTGAACTACTGACCTTGTGGTTAGCAGCCCAATGTATAACCCATGCTCATGTGTACTTTTCACGAAAAATAGAAATATGATGGCAATAAAAGGATAGAGAAAAATACACCATCTGAACAGTATATAAAAATCTACAATGGCTTTGTTAAATTAGACAAAACAGACTTGAAGACATGCAGTTTTCCTAAAGACAAAAAGGGACAAAGGGATCAATGCATTCTAAATATTCCCGTGCCCAGTCACGAAGCTCCAACATACACAAAACAAAAACCAACAGACTTGAAAAGTAGACAAATTAGAGACTGCAATACTCCACTGAGTAATTCATAGAACAATTAGTCAGAAACTGTGCTTGTACCAGACAAGCAAATCAATCTGACCAACTTGACATTCACAGTAGGCTCCACCACCAACAGCGGAATGCACATCCTTTTCAAATGTATATAAACTTCACCAAGACAGACCATAAACTTAGCCTTAAAATAATACAAATAAACATAATTAAATTTAAATAAATTTTAAAGTGTGATATCAAATAAAGGCTTTTCTTTGATCACAATGGAATTAAATTAGAAACCTGCAACTAAAAGGTATCTGGAAACTCTGAAGGTATCTGGAAATAACACAACTTCTAAACATTACATGAGACAAAGAAATCATAATGGGAATCAGAAGATATTTTGTACTCAGTAAAAGTGGAAACAAGATATGTAAAAATTTAAAGAAACTAGTTAAATAATTAGAGGAAAAATTATACATTTAAGTGCTTATATTAGAAAAGAAAGGAGCTCTGGTAGCGTAGTGGTTACGAATTGGGCTGTGAACCTCAAGGTTCACAGCTGTTCCGCGGAAGAAAGATAAGGCTTTCTGCTCCCATAAAGATTTACAGTCTCAGAAACCCTGTACAGGGTTGCTGTGAGTCGGAACCAACTCCACAGCACATAACAACAACCATTAGAAAACAAGATAGGTAAAAAAAAAAAATAGTGATCTAAGTTTCCCCCGTAAAAAAAAAAAAACCTTAGAAAAAGAACAAATAAATTACAAAGTAAGTGCAAGAAGGGAATAATATATGTAAGAATGAAAAATCAAAGACACAGAAAACAGAAAAACTACTGAGAAAAATCAATGAAATAAAAACAAAACTGGTTTTTTGAAAAAAAAAAATCAATAACACTGATAAACTTCTAGCTAAAAAAAGAAAAAAAAGAGGTAAGAAAAAATTATCAATTTCAGAAGAACTATATGGTACCCAGCTATCACTACTGAATGTTCTAATCAGGAACATAACAGAGACTCCTGATCGAACGGGAGAAAAATGTGAAGTAGAACTGCATTCCGACTTGCTTGACCTATTCAGTCTGGTGCCCCCAAGACTTGAGTTGCTCGTCAAACCCTGAATTAAAATTATCCCTCAAAGCTTCCTTTAAGAAACAGTTTACCCCAAAGAGTAAAGACTGTCACTCTTAAGTATTTTTAAACGTGCTACTTAATGAAACAAAGGTATCTACATAAGACCAAATGTTCAATAGCTATTTCAAAGCATAAAGGAACAAGATTAGGGGGCAGGGAGGTTAAATGGAAATGAAACAAACTAGAGCAGAAATAACAAGAATGTTGACACAATGTAAAGAATTTAACCAATGTCACTGATCATCATGTGTAGAAACGGTGTATATTGTCACCAAAAATAAAATAAAAATGACTAAGCTACAAATACATGCAACAGTATCGATGAATCTCACAAATATACTCAGAGAACACAGCCAGACACAAAAGACTACTCTTGACTCCACTGCCAGCATTTCTAGAAGAGGTAAACTATAGTGACAAAAGACAGATCAGTGTTTTAACAAAGATTAACAAAGCCTTAGAGTGGGCACTGGGAAAGAAAACTGAGTGTAGAGCGTAGGAGGGAACGTCTACGGATGACATATATCCTGATTTTGGTGGTGGTTACCCCTTCTGGGGTGGCGCTGTAAGGTCAGCACCGGACTTCGAACTACAAGGTTAGCATTTCAAACCCACCAGCTGCTTCTCAGAAACCCTATATACAGGGTTGTGAAGAGTTGGAATCGACTGGAAGGCACTTAAATACCAACTTCAACAACACAAATGTTCTACCAGTGAAAACATAAAATCAGTGAGTTGTACTATATGTAAATTACATATAAATTGTGTGTGAGTTAGGGAGAAAACCCCAACCAAGGTAGCACTTCCTTCCTGACTAGTTAGACTGAAAAATAATCGATAAAGGGATAGGTTTTTTCACTACAGGATCCAATGTTAGAAAAATAATCAAAACTTAGAAGTAAGTCAGGAGGAGGACAGCATATTGGAGCTGTCTAACAGGATCAGTCAAGAATTATATTTTTGACACATGTTCATTTCAGAGTTGTAAAAATGGCCCTATCTTTTATTGTTAACTCATTTTTAATACCTCATTTAAGTGCTTTTCCAAATCATCTCATGTACTGTAATGCCAGAGGCACATTCTGAAAAAGTTACATCTGAAGTGAGAATTTGGAGGCTTGTTTCCCAGCACACTGCACTTTTTCTTAGAGTGTTCTGAGTATTCTATACTGCTGTCAGGGGTATGGAATTGTGATGGAGCCTCCTTTATTTACTGATTGATTGATCCTATTTCACCCACCATGTTAAAAACAAAAAACAAAGCCAACTCCAATCCCTTGCATTAAAGCCTCTATAATGCCACCCCCCTTTATGAACAGTGAGCCATGATTTTAATTTAGAAATCAATACTTTGCTTCTTGGATACTTCTTCTTCATCTCCAACTTCATCTTCAGTGACCTCTGATCCAGTGGTATATTCTTCTTCTTCTGAAAATAATGACTGCTGTTTCTGAATTGAAAAATAAAACAACATGCCCTACTATACGTGGACTATTTTCACATATCTAATGAATTATTTCAAACACATTTATCTAAATTTATTTTGGTTGACTAAAGCAAACAAAAGCTGACAAAATCATCACTGTCTCACAAAACATTCAGAAAATGGACAAAAGAATTTCTACATTTAGGACAGAATCACACTACATCAGATATTTTTATTTCCATCACAAAATCTAGAAAGTGCTAAGCACATAATAGGTATTCAGTATTTGCTGAAATGCAGCTTAATATCACTCAACTGCATTTCAGCCAATACTGAGTACCTATTATGTATGTGTGTACGATGGTGGTGGTTATGTGCCGTGGAGTCAGTTCCAACTCATAGCAACCCTGTACAGGGTTTCTGAGGCTATAAATCTTTATGGGAGCAGAAAGCCTCATCTTTCTCCCGCGGAACAGCTGGTAGTTTTGAACAGCTGACCTTAAAGTTTGCAGCCCGATTCGTAACCACTACATTACCAGAGCTCCTTAGATATGATGAATTGTAATTTTTTTTCATTATAATGCAATAACTTTCAGTGTGTGGTACTAAAGCATAAGCACGGGACTGCTAACCCCAAGGTCAACAGTTCAAACCCACCAGTCACTCCTCAAATCTTATACAGAGTTGCTATGAGTCGGAACCAATGATATTTAACAAAAACAAGCATGTGCACTCATTCTCTGAGTGAAGGGGTCCCTGGATCACTTCCTACATCTATTCACCCTTTGGATTGTCATCACTGATCCAAATTTCTATTCCATTCTACTGAGTGCTAGTGGTGGTAGTTATGTGCTGTGGAATTGGTTCCAACTCATAGCGGACCCTGCATAGGATTTTGGAGGCTGTAAATCTTTACGGGAGCAGAAAGCCTCATCTTTCTCCCGCGGAATAGCTGGTAGTCTCGAACTGCGGACCTTGAGGTTAGTAGCCTGACTCTCGTAAGCACTACGCTACCGGAGCTCCTTATTGAGTACTGGTGGGAGATGGCATAGTTATGGCAAACAGGTAAACAAATAATCAACCAATAATTGGAAATTCATAGATTTTTTGCTTTGTTCAATGTTCTTAATATGATTTTATAGTGATTTTTAAAGTCTCTTAGCCAGACGTAAGGGTTATATAGGCAGATAATGGAGTATATGTCTGTCTTAAACAATTTGATGGTTGTTTAATAGGTGGAAAATTGCATCCGTTGGAATGAAATATGCAAAACTACCTAAAATTTTTAAACTATGATACTGACAAAATTCAATTAAATGAAACTTATACTTCAGGACAAAGAGATCCATAAAAGCTAATTTACCAGTTGCAGAGTCCAGTTTTTCAGTGACAAAAACTATAAAAAAGACAGAGGAATAAGACATTAATCATTCTATATCCACCCAGATTATGGTTCCATTATTTCTTATGGACACCAAAGAAGAGTGGATGAGGTTACCAATACAGGTTCCCTAAAGGTTGCAACATAATTTAAAACTCAGGCTGAAACTGCAGACTGCAATCTTCAATATATACCTTGTCTAGGGAAGACTGTGGATAATGAAAAATTAGAAAGCAACACCATCATTTTCCTAATGCCATTTCCAAATGACAAGAAAATCACATGTAGCAATAATGTAATTTTATCTAGTTTTTAATGATTTAGTAACTTTTTAATGTCTTATGTTTTATTATAAATTAAGGCATCAGATTATATGCATGGATATTATAAAACTCAATTTGTCATTTTATGTATAACTCACAAATAAATGATAATGACTAAGTAACCTTCTGGAGTACTTTACATGGAATATTTCACTTTCTCAAGTGAATGCTACTTTATTCAACACAAAGATAAGACATTCACAGGCCGACAGAGGTTTCCAGGCCCTTGGTGACAGAAGTCAATGGAACCAAAGCTTTCCAGTCAACTTAAAAATATGACTTCACTTTTGAAGTCTTTGAAAAATTCAGTGCATTCCTGATTTAGATAAAAGTAAGTGTAATTTCATATAGGGAAAAGTTTCTAGAACTAGAAGGAAACAAAGCCTCCTATTCATACTACAAGTAGTCTCCAATTTAAGACGGGGTTCCATTCTGACTCTGTTGTTAAGTTAGTTCTCACATAAATCAAACTCATTTGTTTTTACTTTATTGGTTTTTATTATTAGTATCTTTGTAAGTCAGATTTTTACTTATTTTGGGAGTTTAGCATAAGAGTAATAACATTAGCAAATTAGGCACTACAGCACTATACGTAGTACATATTACTAGCGATAGGAAAAACAAACAAACCCAGAGATGGTCTTAACTGTAGTTCACTATAACTCGTATACGCTGTAAGTCAGGGACTATCTGTACCTGAAGTTTTTAAGTCATTATTTGCCCATAATAAAAACTGTGAAGACCATGTTATATTATTGTTCCAAAATTTAGATTAATTACTAATTCTTTGAGGGTAAGGAATGCGTACTATCATCCTTGTAATCCTATCTATTCAGCATAATATCTTACTGTTACCAGATAGTCAGTAAATGCTAGATTAGTTGACACTATTAATGTCCATGTAAACTGATCAACTGTCTATATTAATATAGAGTAAATGAACCAAACTACTTACAGCATTGAGCTCCCCAGTTCTTGGGCCCCATGGTGCATTTGGCTCTAGCAAAACATCACAGTCTAGACCCCTTTCTTCACATTGGCCAACCCCAGAATCACTTGAAAGAAAAACATATATAAATTTTTAATGCAAACAGTTCCTTTCTTATTGTGAGCATTTTATAAATCACTCTTTGGAAAGAAAGATGGCTCCTGAGTATGAGGAATGCCAGTTCAACACTTACATTTCTTAATTCATCTAGTGATTCATCCAGCAGACACACTGCCAACAGGGGGAATATGGTTACATAATCTACATGCATGGTTACACCCTCTCCAGGAGATGAAAAGGGTGCTGTGACTGGAACTGCTTAGGGAACTGCCTCTATTAAAGGGTCCTCGAACCTTCCATTACAGCCTGCTGCAATTGCACAACGATGGAAGTAGCTTCCGAGATGACCGAACTCAAGTTCAAACTTACAGAAAAATGATCCTTCCCATCAACTTTCTCTCTAATTGTACTAATCAAACACTTAAGATGTAAGCAAGGTGGAAGATAATAAAAAACCTTAAAAAGGGATTGAGGGTCCCAATCTTCTTAATCTTTTCACTAATTTTTCTTCTTCTTAGACTTCCAATATATTAAAATGTTTGGGGCTTTTTTTTGCAAACACTGGTTCGCTCTTATTGTTAAGAGCATACTTTCAGTTAAGTTTTCTGAAGTAATGTAAACAATTTGAGGACTGATTTGGGAAAGTGTCAGGAGGCGGGGATTCTGGAAAGGGAACCAGTGAGTAAAGCTGTACGGTGGTGCTTTTTCATTTTGTTTTTCTCACCTAACAGTATCCTTAGAAAAAGGCACAATAATGACATCTTTGTGACTGAGCAGATCATCCAGTATCCTAGTAGTCGGACAAGACAGCAAATCCCCACCTTCACCTTGATCACAAACAGCAACCATGTGGTCCCTCACTTTACAGCCCTGTCAAGTAAAAGACATTACATTACAGAAACATTCCTTTAAAGGTCACTGCATATTTTTCTTTTACCAGCCATATCAATCAGTTTACAGCTTTTTCTTGTGAAAAGATAATATCCACACAGAAAACACTATGAAATATACATGTGCATTCATTAAAACCAAAGAATAGTCTCGATGCCACCATCCATGTTAAAAAACAGAACATGGCCAACACTGCCGAAGCCGCAATGTGTCCATCCTTAATCAGAACTGCCTCCCTCTCACCAAAGGTCACTTCTCTCCTGAATTTTATGGTAATCATTTCCTTATTTTATTACATAATTTTATCACTTAAGGATGCAGCCCTAACACTATGTCAGTTTTGCTTGTTTCATTAAACATTATGCTTTTTAGAACTCAACCATGTTATTGCACATATAAGGGACTTCTGGTATGGTGCTGTAGGATAAGCACTGGACCTAAGGGACAGTTTGAACCACAAGGCCAGTGGTTCAAATTCACCAGCTGCTCCTTGGAAAACTTATACAGGATTTCTATGAGTCAGAAATGACTAAATGGCACTTAACAGCATTGTGTATATAGTTTACATTTCCATTAATGTATCGTATACCATTGTATGAATAAACACAAATTGTTTACTAAGTCTCCTGTTGATAGATGGATTGTTTCCATTTAGGGCTAGTATAAATGCTGCTATAAACATTCTTTGACATGTTTCAAATGCACAAGCACACACGTGTATCAAATACAAGACTATCAGCAGCATATAAGAGTTTCTGTGACGCCACATTATTGTTCACACTTAAGACTTTTAAATTTTAGTCATTTTGTGTATAGTGGTATCTAGTTGTGGTTTTAATAACAATTCCCCTAATTCTGTTTACTGGACAACAGAAGTTTTTCTTGAAAGAAATGATTATTACCTGTTTTTTTCTTACTGATATTATGATATTATATTGTTAATAAGGCATGATTACAATGTGTGCAAAGTTGCCGCCATAGAGTTTCCAAGGCTGTGACTTTTTTGGAAACAGATTACCAGGCATATCTTCTAAGGTGTTTAAGAGAGATCGAACTGCCCTGTTTTTAATCTGAACTTTTTATGGCTATATTGTTGTTAAGTGTTGTTGAGTCGGTTTTGACCCTTACAGACCCTGTATAGGGTTTCTGAGGAGCAGTGGTAAGCTTGAATAGCCAACTTTGTATTGGTAATATTTCTTTCTACCTGTGGGTTTGTCTTCTCAGTCTCAATTGATTTATTGGATTTATCGATCTCTTTCTCTATGGTATTACCTTTAGAAGCTTTATTAGTTTTCCTTTTGCATACAGCTTTTGTGAGCATTATGGGATAGAGGTCCAGCTCTATTTCAGTTCTAGTTTTCCCCATATGGAAAAAGGCCTTATTAGTAAGGTCTTCATTTGCCCAGTGTTCTACAGTGCCATCTTTTATCATTCAAGTGTTCACATACATGTGGCTCTAGTTTTAATAATAGGTAGTCCCCAACTTATGGTCGAGTTCTGCTTTGACAAATCCACTGTCAGTTCTGAGGTAAGCTCAGAATACTGGTTTTCTTTTTTAAGTTTTCAGTACCAATGCCTTTTATTATCATTATCTTCATAAACCTGACCATTGAACATCTGTAAATGAACATTGAGAATAACATTAACAAATTATGCACTGCAACAAGAGTACATATTACTAATGATAATATGTATTATTAGTTATACATATAGATAATATGTACTAATAGTGGTGGTGGTGGTGATGTGCCGTGGAGTCGGTTCCGACTCGTAGCGATCCTGTACAGGGTTTCCGAAGCTTTAAATCTTTATGGACGCAGAAAACCTAATTTTTCTCCTGAGGAACAGTCTGGTAGTTTCCAACTGCTGACCTTGAGGTTCACAGCCCAATTCGGGCTGTGAATCTCAAGGTCAGCAGTTGGAAACTACCAGTTGTTCCGCGGGAGAAACCCTGTACACCACACTATCAGAGTTCCTTCATGATAATATGTTGTTGTTGTTGTTATGAAGTGCCGTCAAGTCAGTTCCGAACCTAAGCGACCCTGTGTAAGGTTTCCAAGAAGCAGGTTCATAGCTTGAGCCACCGACCTTGCAGTTCAAACAGCTTTACGCTCTGGCTCATTAACCCACAGTGCTACACCAGGACTCCAATGGCAAAGAGACTGGTAGACAATAGAAGATGACAAACTACAGGTGATCTCTGACTTACAACATTCAAGTTACTGCAAATCACATTTAACAGTATTTTTGGGGGGGGTCATACATTATCATTAATAATTATTAATGTTTGTTGTCTTCTATCAACACTCACGGAAGTAGCAGTCAAGAGATCAGATGACGTATTGCACTGGGCAAATCTGCTGCACAGGAACTTTTTAAAGTATTGAAGAGCAGAGATATCAGCTTGAGGACTAAGGTGCGACTGACCCAGGCCATTGTGTTTTCAATAGCCTCATATGGATGCAAAAGCTGGACAGTGAATAAGGAAGATCGTAGAAGAATTGATGCCTTTGAGTTGTGGTGTTGGAGGAGAATACTGAAAGTGCCATGGACTGCCAAAAGAACCAATAGATCTGTTTTGGAAGAAGTGCAGCCAGAGTGCTCCTTGGAGGCCAGGATGGCTAAGCTTCGTCTCTCCTACTTTGGACATATTGTCCGGAGGAAATAATCGTTGGAGAAGGATGTCATGCTAGGTAGGGTGGAGGGTCAGAGAAAAAGAGGAAGACCCCCAACGAGATGGCTCAGCCAGGTGGCATCATTAATGTACTCAAGTGTGGCAGCAGTAGTGAGGTTGGCCCGGGATCGGACATTGTTTCGTTCTGCTGTGCATGGGGTCGCTATGAATTGGTTCCGACTCGATGGCACCTGACAACAACAACATTGTCTTCTATTATCTACCAGTCTCTTTGCCAGTATCACCTTGTCTAAATTGCTATGGCTTTATTATAAATCTTGAAATCAAGTAAGTCCTTCTATCTTTGTTGTGATTGAGAATATTTTAGCTCTTCTTGGCCCTCTGCATTTACATATAAGTCTTAGAATCAGCTTAACAAATTTCCTAATAAAATTCTATTGAGATTTTCATTATTATTGTACTGATTTTTATAGATCAATTCGACAAGTAGCCACATCTTTCCAATACTGTTTCCAGCCTACCATCATTGTTTTAGTCTTCTTTATTTCCTCTCAGTGTTTTATGCTTTGTATGAGAGGTCTTGCATATTTTGTTAGATTTATTCCTTTTGCTGGGTGGCATTGAGGTGATTTGACTCATAATGACCCTATGTGACAGAACAGAACTGCCTATAGGGTTTCCTAAGTTATAACCTTTACAGGAGCAGATTGCTGGATCTTTTCTCCTGTGGGTGGATGGTGGGTTTAAACCACTAACCTTTTCCACTTAGCAGCTGGGCACTTAACCAATGAACCACCAGGGAGCCTTAGATTTATTCCTAGGCACTCAATATTTTTTGATGATATTGTAAATGGTTTCTTTTTATACATTTCATTATTAAAATTGTTGGTATATATAAATATAACTGATTTTTATAGATTGGTATTTAATAGATCAGACTTCTCAAACTCATTAATTGTAATACTTTGTAGATTCTTTGGGTTTCTTATGTACATAAAGGAGTCCAGATGTGGCACTGTAGGATAAGCCCTGAACTGCAAGGTCGGCAACTCAAACTCACCAGTTACTCCTCAGAAATCCTATACAGGGTCACTATGAGTCAGAACCGATTCAACTGCACTGAATAACACCAACAACATGTATATAGCACCACCCACAAATAAGTCCTGGTGTGGCGCTGTGGGTTAATGTTCCAGACTGCAAAGCTGTTTGAACTGCAAGGTTGTCAGTTCAAGCTCACCAGCTGCTCCTTAGAAACCCTATACAGGGTACGTATGGGTCAGAACTGACTCGACGGCACTTAACAACAACAACAAATGAACAGTAGTATAATACTGAGCACCCTGAATTCTCGATACCTGTCAAAACTAAAGCATTTTATGTTTCACTAGTAAGTGTGATCTTTGCTGTAAAGTATAGATTTCCAGATTGTTAATTATTTCTTTTAGTACAATGAAGACCATGCAGACTGTACTCTGGCTTCCGATATTACTGTTGAGAAAGGAACTCTGTTATTATTCATGTTTTGTAGGGATTCTACTTTTTGTCCTCTAGTTGCTTTAAAAACGTTTTCTTTTTTTTCAGTTTCAATATGATATCATATGTAAGTATGGGTTTCTTGTTATCTTATTGGGAAACACTGGATTTCTTGAAAACATGAATTAGTATCTTCCAAAGTTTAAAAGATTCTTCAAATTTTGCCTTGGAATCATTCTCTTCCTCTTCTTCTATTGTGAATTCTATTAAATATATTAGATCTTCTAGGTATCATACTCTCCTTTTAATTTCTCATCATTTTGTACTTAATTCTGGACAGTTTCTTTGGACTTAGCTTTCAATTTACTAATTCCTTCTTCAACTGCTTCTAATATGCTGCTAATTTGTTAAGGGGCTTAAATTTCTGTTACTGAATTTTTCAATTCTTGCATTTCTATTTGTTTTTGTTTAAACCCTCTCTGTGACTTTTATAGTTTACAATTCCCTGATAAGTAATTCAAACCTATCCTCCCATCAGAAGAACTACAGCATACAGATGGATTAAAGGTCATCAGATTAAAAGCACCAAAATGCTAATGAGATAATGAGGAATCGTGTTAATATATAGCATATAATGGGAACCCACAGAGGTGAACTGGTACTAAAGAGCATCTGTTAAGATGACTATTACAAATATGAAATAGAATGCATAAAGATCAATATATCAGATGCACCGATCATTACTAGTGATTGGGATATGCAAAAGTTGTAAACACAGAGGAAGGATTAGTAGTGTCACAGAATATGGCCTAGTTGATAGAAATGATGCTCAAGATCCCACAACAGAATTTTGCAAGACCAATGACTTATTCATTGCAAATACCTTTTATTTTTTTTGTATTGAAAAAAAATACATATTTAGAATCACATGCAAGTAAAATTTTGCTGAAGATAATTCAAAAACTGTAGCAACAGTACATTGACAGGGAATGACCAATGCAGAAGTTCAAGCTGGATTCAGAATAGGATGTGGAACTATTGATATTATTGCTGGTATCAGATAGATCTTGGTTGAAAGCAGAGAATACCAGAAAGATGTTTACTTGTGCTGTATTGACTATGCAAAGGCTTTCGACTGTGTGAGTCATAACAAAATATGGATAACACGGTGAAAGATGGGTATTACAAAAACTTAACTGTGCTTATTTGAAACCTGTACATGGACCTAGATATACTTGTTAGAACAAAACAAGGGGATACTGAATGGTTTAAAATCAGGAAAGGTGTTTCCAGGGTTGCACCCCTTCACCATAGTTACTCCATCTGTTATGCTGAGCAAATAATTGAAGAAGTTTGATTATCTGAAGGAAAAGGTGGCATCAGGACAAGAAGACTCATTTATAATCTGTGAAATGCAGATGACACAACCTTGCTTGCTGGAAGCAAAGAGAACTTAAAATACTTACTGATGAAGATGAGAGACTATAGCGTTTCAGTATGGATTATACCTCACTATAAAGAAAACAAAAATCCTCACAAATAGACTAATAAGAAACATCATGATAAACATCACAATAAAGCAGCAGCCAAGAAATCAAACAATATACCATATTGGGCATATCTACTGCAAAAGACTTCTTTAAAGTTTTCAAAAGCAAAGCTATCAGTTTGAGGACTAAGATGTGTCTGACCTAAGCCAGGGTATTTTCAATAGTCTCAAAATGCATGTGGCAGTTGGACAACCAATAAGAAGACTATAGAAGCACTGACATTAGATTTGAGTCCCTGTGTTGGAGAAAAATACTGAAAGTACCATGGAGTGCCAGAAGAATGAACAACTGTGTTGGAAAAAGTACAGCTCGAATCTAACCTATAACAGAATCTAACCTATATGGATACTCACATATTATACCAAGATATATGTTCATTGCAACCCTGTATGTAGCAACATCAATCAGAAAGCAATCTCAATGCTCCTTAGAAGCCAGGACAGTGAGACTTTATCTCTCATCCTTCAGACATGCTATCTGGAGGAAGTAGCCAAACATTCAATGGTACATTTCTTTGTGTGCTTTTTTTTTTTTCTCTTTCTGATATTAATGACTGAACTATAAGTGCCATGAAAACAGAAACAAATTTTATACATTATTAACTTCTTTGAACAGTGTGTATAGCACAACAGTTTAGTGTTTTATAAACATCTGTCATATGAAGGAGATTTAGGTTCCTTTCATCCATTCATGACCTTTAATAACACAACATTTTCAAAAGTGTTAGTGATGAGGGAATCTAACCTATAACAATACTCACAGATTACACCAAGATATATGTGCATTGCAACCCTGCAGCATCAATCATCAATCTGGAAACAACCTAAATCTTCACCAATCAGAGAACAGTTCAATAAACTGTAATACTGCACAGCAGCTAAATAAAATGACACAAAAAGATAACCTAGGTATATCATTTGGGGGAAGAATAAGATAAATTATACGATCTCATCAACAATATAAAGATTATTTATCATTTATACCTGATATATATAAAACAAGGTCTGAAAGGAAACTGTCAGCTGTGACTCCCTCTCAAGAGAAGGTGAAGCAGGGAGTGGTGTGAAGAGAGACTTCTACTTTCTACTATAAATATGTACATGTTGTTTAAGCGTTCGCTACATGAATGTATTAGTTTTATACTTTAAAAATAACAAAAGGGTAGAAGATTTACATAAAGTGTTGGTGAACACTATGTGTTTACCTACAAACGGGCAACATTCAGGATTTACCTTTGTAAGCTGAGTGGGATCAAACCGGAGAACCTTTTGGTTACAGCAGGGATAAATCCCAGTGCCGACAGAACTCTGTGAACTTGCTGCAGTGGGGTAGATCACTGTTTCTGAGTGATACTGACAGTGTGAAAATTCAATACAGAGAAAAGCCTGAATAAAAGAAATAGTCAACATCCATTACTGTTTCCACAGTGAAATTAAACACACTAACAAAAACATATTGTTTCCACAATGAAATTATACCTATAAAAAAGACTATGTATTGTGATTCCATTTATATAAAATATACAAAACAGGCAAATTTATGGAGACCCAAAGGAGCTCTGGCAGCGTAGTGGTTACGAATCGGGCTGCGAGCCTTAAGGTCAGTGGTTCGAAACTACCAGCCGCTCCGCGGGAGAAAGATGAGGCTTTCTACTCCCGTAAAGATTTACACCCTCGGAAACCCTGTACAGGGTCGCTATGGGTCGGACCCGACTCGATGGCACTTAACAACAACAACAACAAAGTTGATTAGTGGTTACCAGGGGCTAGGTATGAGACTGGAGAGTGACTACAAATGGGCACAAGAGACCTTCCTGGGTGATGGAACTATTCTGAGATTGGATTGTGAACTGTACAAGGCTGTAAAAGTACTTTAGAAACACTGAGTTGTACACATTAAAATGAATGACTCTTGTGACACGTAAAACTTTATATAAATTTCAAGTGCATTAAATTGATCTTGAGAGCCTTGTGGTACAGTGGTTAAAGTGCTCAGCTGCTAATGGAAGGCTTGGGTTAGAACCCACTAACTGCTATGTGGCAGCCTGGTAAACCCTCTGTCCTAGAGGGTCACTGTGAGTCACAAGTGGCTCAATGGCAGTGAGCAATGCAAACTGATCTAGATGGACATGCTAGTTTATAAATGGCTAGTCACCTCACCAGTTTTCCAGTGAAAAATAAAACGTCAGTTTGTCTTACTTGGATATTCCTTAATATATATATTTTTAAAGCTAAATATTTAGTAGCAGTACTTATAAAATTGAGTTACTCTGAATCATGGGTGAAAAAGGTACCAAGGTTTAATTATCAAATAGGTTTCAGATATATTTATGAGTTGGTAAAATAATTCTAAGACCATAACACAATTAACATTCTAAGCACAAATAATCTTGAACACAAAAGGAAGGCAGAATCTAGAACTCAAGAATTCTTAGTTGTTAGTTTCAATTACGATTTTGAATTAAAATCTGTACTGTGTCTGATAAAAGCTATCTCATCCACACAATATTTTCCATATAAATTCAGGTGTGTATAAACTCGACAAAATAAATGGCAAAAATTATTCAATTTGCTATGAAAAAAAGAGATAAAACCCTTACATGCTGACATTAGAAACAAGTCAGGTTTTAGAACTGTGATATCCCTGATTAATTACAAGTGATAGCCTAATTGTGAGAAGGGTATCTACGAATCTGTTAAAAGAAAACAAAATCAAAACAACCAATAACATCAAGTGCTAGAGTACTTCAGTAAACCTGAGCTTAAAAAAAAATGTGGGGACACATGGAATCAGTTGGGTGGGAGCTTCTACAGCTTGACAGCTGCTCCTCCTTCCAGCCATTGAAAATCATTACCCATTAAATAAGATTGAGTGTGGCCTATGAAGACCTGCTCATTCTATAAAAGGGTTTTGCTTAGGTTCCTTCAAATAGCAAGCTTTCTTGCGTTTTTTATTACAGACTTCTTCCCTATGAAAACCAATCAAAAACTTTTGGGGAGTGCAACTATTTAATAAATTTATGGACCAGTGGAACATTTCTGGCTGGGAACAAGTAAGAGGATATTGCTTTTTTTTTTTCTATTGAAAAAATAGATTTGGTCACTTAAAACCAACTTTTTCTAAAAATTCAGCAAGGCAATGGTTACTGCAACAATAGAAAATAAAAAAGGGGATGAAGAAACACGGCAAGAGAAATGAAGCCAGATGCAAGCAATGATTAAATGCACCATTATTTTTACTACTAGATTCTTAAAGAGATGTCAGCTATTGTCCAAACATACTAATTAAACAGTATATATCAAAAAGGCTTTTCCCTCAACATTTTGCAGAAAAGGTAAAAAAATAAGACAAAATTCTCACTTGACAACATCTTGAGCAAGTCAGCCAGTTGACTGTTCCCCATAAGCGCCAATATACATTTCTCCAAGATTTTAATTCTTCAAAAAAGCTATTCAAATACTCATGAACATCCCAAGTCTTGTCTCTGGGGAAAAGAGCCTCAACTGTTATATTATTTTACAAAGCAAGCAATATAAACATTTTGTTTTAAACAGATTTTTGTGTTTAAATGTTAAAAAGATTAACGTTTTTATGTTTGTGTACTATTTCCAAGAACATTTCCCCAAATAATGGATATGATGTAAACTACAGTTCTAGACAGATAAAATTGCCTTTGGGAGTTTATTTTGTGGACTACAGAAAAAGCTACAGAGAATTTAACGCCATATTAATTTGTTAACCTAGAAAAAGAGTTAAAAACTAAATGTGGTTTGAAGCAGATCAACAGTTGGAACTTAGGCATATGTGGTCAAATGCAATCTTTATTGTGACTGCAAATGTTATAAGGGACTATTACTGCTAATTCTAAATATTTCATTAATGTACTGGTTCTTTACATCATGTGCAAAAGATATAATCTATTAAGTAACATAGTTTGTTATATGTAATAAGGTCTAGGTAATACACATCCTACAATTAGACAATATCAAGTTTCAAAAAAGCAAAAGCTTAAAACCAAATTTGCTATAGTCATATGTAAGTCCCTATTTTTTCTTTTTCTTTTTTTTAATTCCTATTTTTTAACTTTTGATATTTTTTTTCCTTCGCTCAACAGATAACAAAATGCAATCATGCAGTTCAAATGACAAAAGAACAATCTGTTTTAAAAAGCTACTTAAAGACAATTTAAATAATATATGCACCAAAAGCAGACTTGTAGGAAAATACTTCAAATTAAAAAGCAAGAATTGATGCTAAAGATAACATCAAATACTTTCTTCATATACTACTATTAATAGTTATTGCTGTTATAATGAATAAAGACTCAAGGCAAAAAACAAAACAAAAAACAATTATAAAGTTCTAGGGGCTTAAAATAACTAAGATTTTTAATTACTCTACTTTAAAGTTGACTGTACTATTAACGTTTAGATCAACTGTCAAACATTTCCTTGTATTGCTGTCTAATGTAAACAATATGAAATCTAACATTTGTAGGCTTTTTTCTTAAGTAAAAGTTCTATGCATCTTTACCATGGAAAGAAATAGAAGAAAACTAAAGTTCTCCCTAACGGTATCACCCAAAGGTAACATTCAGATTAACATTTTAATGAACATGAACACACTTCCAGTTTTGCTTCATAACCTGTTTTTGTCACTCAATTTACCACTAATAATTTTCTATGTTAGTATATATTCTTTCACCACTTTACACTTAAATGGTACAAATGACAAATAGATTAGATGTGCTTTAGATAAATACACTATTGTATAGCTGTACAGGTATGTGTTGTTTAATGACCATATTTACATAATTTGGACATTGAATACCGTATTAGATACAAGTTGTTGCTGTTATTGTAGTTAAGTTCTATCAAGTCAGTTTCCAACTCACAGCGACCCTCTGCAGGGTTTCCAAGGAGCAGCTGGTGGATTTGAATCACTGACAGTGTGGTTCAAAGTGACCTTGTGGTTCAGTGCTTATCCTACCAGGACTCCTATATACATGTAGTTGCTGTAGTCAAATCCTTGTAATATTGGAAACCTGGTGGCCAAAGTCCAAGAGTTACATCCACTGGATACAGGACGTTGGCTTTGCTGGGTGTGCAGCTGGGTCGGATGGGGGCTGAGCTGGCAGCTGGATCAGGACTTTATTTGTGTCCAGGTGCAGGATGGGGGTGATGTACAGGGGCATAGATAAGTGGCCACAGGGACAGGCTGCGGTTTTGGGTGCTGGGAGCACAGCTGGCTGTGGCAGCTGTGACTGCTGCCACCCTGCTGGGAACCCACAAGCGCCCTGGGCTCCTGGGCATTGCCAGCAACTATGGCAGGAGCCGAATGGCCTGGGCATGAAGTGAACAACTGTTTAGCTGCAGGTTAATTGAATGAAACCAGAAGGAAAGGAAGGAAGAGGTAGAGGAGGAGGCACCGTGTGGACTGGGATGTGCCCTGGAGCCCCGCTGTAGTCCTGTTGTGGTGCTGTAGGATAAGCACTGGACTGCTAACAGTCCACCAGCTGCTCCTCAGAAACCTTATATAGGGTTGATGTCCGGCAGAACTGAGTCAGAGGGCACTTAGCAAGAACCATAGCGAGCCCCTGCTGCTCATTGACTCAAAGGGTTTAGTAGCTTTAAAACCATTAGGGGAAAACAATAAAAGGAGAGCTGCTTTCCTTTAAAGATTAAACAACAAACAAACTATTGGGATGACAGGCATATATGCAGTCGGATGATTCCTGGATGGATGTGAAAAGCAACACATACCTGTCAAACTTACTGTACATTCAGTAAGGACCAGCCACTTGTTTGTACCTGTTGTTTAAAAAGGAAAGCAAAGCAGTTCTCCTATTGTTTTTGGCACTATAAACACTGGGCTGCTAACTGCAAGGTCAGAGGTTCAAACTCACCCGCCACTCCTCAGAAACATTGTATTCACTGTGTGTTGGAACTGACTTGATTGCATTTAATAACAACAATGATTTTTTTGTTGTTGTTGTTAAATATTATTTTATTTAATCATTGCAACAATATCTGTGAGTTAGGGATTACTATATCATTGAGAATGAAGAACTAAAATTTAAAGACTGGGTGTTGTTCAAGGTCATAAAGCTAATAAATTGTAAAACTGGGGGGAAAGGAGAGAGAATAGGAAAACACAGCCATATAGCCAGATATGGGTCCTAGATATGAGAAGTGGAGGTTTTAAACAGAGGACAAGTACCTCTGGAAGGCAGGCATCATTTACTAGCAGCTATTTTACCATGTAAAAGAGTTTCCTTACCAATCTTTGGAGAACATACACTTAAACAACTTCCAAATCACATAATTTCCTGTTCCACAGACTGTACTGTGGACACTGGAGTCCTGCTATGGTGCTGTAGAATGAGCACTGGACTGCTAACCACAAAGTCAGTGGTTCAAACACACCAGCCGGTCATTGGAAACCCTATTAAGGGTTGAGATGCATTGAAACCAACTCAATGGCGCTTAACAAACAACATTGTGGCTATAAGCTACATGCAACTGTATTTTGGTTTGTTTAATCACTTGACCATTTGGATGTTAGTTCATATTACCTATTTATGTATTCTGTACATCAATACATATTGAGCCCAACATTACCTCTCTGGATAAGTTTTTAGCAGTATGATATTTTGGAAGCATACATAAATGTTAAAGCATTTTTCTTCATGAAGTACTGTATCTATTTACAACCCTCTCCCTCCTATACCCTGCTCCCAACCTAAAATGAGAACTTGTTTTATATTTAAAAGGGAATAAAAAGGACTATGTTTTAATGGAATACTGACAAAATATGATGAATCTATAAACAAATGATAGAAAATCCAAATTTAAAGACAATTTTCCTCACTCGCCAAAATTCACATGAAAGTAAATTCAATATAACATTTGTATTTATTGTTGTTAAGTGCGGTCGGATCAGAGCAACCCATATAGGAGCAGCTGGTGGTTTGAACTGCCGACCTTGAGGTTTGCAGTCCAGTGCTTGTCCTATAGTGCCACACCAGGAAAAATAATTAAAATCTGTTATCAAAGTTACATTTTAGGGAGGTGGGGCTTGATGGCAGATAGGGTAGAGGTGCAGCAATACCATAGAATACCAGACGAAGCGGGTATGTGGCAGAGCTACAAAACTCTGAACCACATAGGTAGGAATATTTTAAAAGTTTGAAGGCTTACAGCTAGTGGAACTTGCAGCGAAGTAAGAAATCCCATATTTTAGAATCTACTGAGCTTGGAGGCCTGGAGCCCACAACTTGGGCGAGACCTAACAGCAAGACCAAGCGGGGGAGCAGGCAGACATGCCAAAGAAAAATGCTGCGGGAACCTCAGAGCAAAGATGGAAAAAAGACTGTTGGTTTTGCTATGCCCTGATTTTTTTTTTTTATCTGTTCATTGTTGTTGTTGTTGTCGTTGTCAGGTGCCATCGAGTTGGAACTGACTCATAGCGACCCCATGCACAGCAGAACGAAACAATGTCCGATCCTGGGCCAACCTCACTACCGCTGTCACACTTGAGTCCATCAATGATGCCACCTGGCCAATCCATCTCATTAGGGGTCTTCCTGTCTTTCTCTGACCCTTCAACCTAGCCAGCATGACATCCTTCTCCAGCGACTGTTCCCTCCGGACAACATGTCCAAAGCATGAGAGACGAAGCTTAGCCACCTTGGCCTCCAAGGAGCACTCTGGCTGCACTTCTTCCAAAACAGATCTATTGGTTCTTTTGGCAGTCCATGGCACTTTAAGTATTCTCCTCCAACACCACAACTCAAAGGCATCAATTCTTCTACGATCTTCCTTATTCATCTGTTCATTGGCCTCCCACTATTTGCATACCTCCATTCTGTTGACTAGAGGGGTGGGGGTACCTGAGCGAGTGGACACTCCCCATACCCCCACCACTGGTGAGTTCTTCTGCCATGCATGCGCACAGACACCTCAGCATTTAAAGAGACAGGCAGCTCAACAGCCAGCTCTGAACTGTTTATTAATAGGGAAAAGGCCACAACAAAGTATGTGGAGAGGGAGAGAGAGTTTAAGAACAAAACAGGCTGAAAATTAAATCCTGAGGTACAACATAACAACCAACAGTGGCCTCTTGAAATTTATCCGGTGATCTTGAAGGCAAAAAACTGAAAGAGGATCTTAACATCATACTCATATTAGGCTACAGATATTTTTTTCTTCTCTCCCTCCTCTCCATTTTCTGCAATTATAGACTACACTAGCTCTGGTAGCGTAGTGGTTATGAATTGGGCTGCAAACCTTAAGGTCAGCGGTTCGAAACTACCAGCCGCTCTGCGGGAGAAAGATGAGGCTTTCTACTCCCGTAAGGATTTACACTCTCGGAAACCCTGTACAGGGTCGCTATGGGTCGGAACCGACTCGACGGCACTTCACAACAACAACATCCAATCTAGTTTTTTGTTATTGTTGTTTCCTTTATTTTTTTGCTGTAACT